GATGTTTGTTTGTTTAATTTATCCGGATTAGTAAAATTTATTATACCACTTTGATATGGTGGAGTTCCTCTGGTAGGATTCGGTATTTTAGGGAATTAGTATAATTTAGTATTTCTGACTTGCATTCAGAGGGTTAAAATTCTCTATTTTTGTTATTTGTTTTTTCTATCCTTTTTTTTTCTTTTTCAGGGTTTTCCCTGAAAGTGAGGTAATAGTATAATTTAGTATGTCTCACTTTCAATGAGGAGGTAGATTTACCTTATCGGCTTAAGGCCCAACTGAGTTTGATAATGGCTCCAATCAAGATAAAATAGTGTTATGTAATTTGCATTCACAGAGTGGACAATGATATTCAATCCCGGTAGATATATTGTTTGCTAAAAGAGTGTACCAGAAAGATCGGATAGACTCTCTAAACTTATACTTTAAATGTGTAATTCCCATGATTATTATTTAAAATTACCGTAACCTGATTTTATAACTATTCAGTGCAATGTGTAGTTTTTTTGTGGCTCTGACTTGGGAGATAAGATTAGATAATAGACCCGGATTAGTACCCGGTTATTCTAAATTAATAAGATTTCGGGAGTAAAGTAATATTTAAACCGGAATTATATTGGGAGCACCCCAAATTATCCTTGGAGCTTGAGTAGTAATCGAGAACCCTCGTTATCAGCTTGAACTTTAGTCGCATGTATGTTCGTCAAAGATCCTTCTTAACGGTGTGTTCGTAAGAGATAGTTCTCTAATAGGACAGATAAATACCTGGTTTATGTTTGAGTGTGTAATTTGGGCTACAGTGCCGGAGGGCGATTTAGTTCGGAGTATCCGGAGAGATTTGGATATGAAGTTGTAAAGGACAGTAAAGTGCTTTTTATGGTTTTTTGAAGAATTACCTTAGTAATGGTACAAATCATCCATCAATTGCCCACAGGGGAGTAAGTTGTAGTAAAGTAGGTGTAGGGGAATCTGTACCTAGTAGGGGGTTATATATGGTCTGGATTTGAAATCCGGATTAGGTTTGTTAAACCGTAGCCTTAGCTCTTTAGTATAATTTTTAGTATGTCTGTTTGTGGCACAGGAGGTATT